TCGTCCTCCTGTCCCAGAATCTTAGGCAGCCATTCCTTTAAAAAATCCACGGCGTTTCTGCCTTCCACTCCCTCTGGGAAGCCAACAAGACGTAAATTCTGACGGCGAGATTGATTCTCAAGTTCATCAATTTTATCTTTCAGCTGTTTAATTTCGTCGTCAACAGCCAATTTGACATTCCCGACATCTTTGTGAAGGCCCGTTACCGCTTCTTCCATCTCCAACTGCTTGGTTTCTACATCCACCATTCTCAGATTTATTGACTGTAATTCGTGCCACTTTTTCTCCAAGGATTCTGCGAACTTACTCAGGCGTCCGTCGATTAACTCCTGAATTCTGAGAAAACCTTTTTCCATTTCTGCATGGAACCATGGCGGCGGGTCGGACAGTGGCAGTCTCGTTTCCTGAGTTTCTTCTTTTTTATTGTCCGTTTTCTTTGGATTCGGCATATTTATCGGAATATTCTAAGTTATTATTTTAGATAAAGTACTTTCGTCGTAATAAATATCTTTAGGGAGGGTTATTTAGATGGAATTATTCGGGAGCTCTAAACGCTGCGTCTCACTCTAGCACCGCCATAACCGGAAGTCATTATCTGTTCAATTTGATGTTTTTTTTGTGGCTTTCTAGTTTCTGCAGCAGTATGGAATAATTCCTTCATCTCTACCAGAGCGTTTATTAATTGCCTAAAGCAGACTTCTTACTTCAGTCCTGACCCTGGAGCTACTCAAATTAGTAATCTACAGCTTCACACATCAAAACTGACCAGTGATGTTACTTCATCTATCCAAACTGCCAGATTTTTCACCAATCACCACTATTTCTCAACAGTTCACACTTGTTGTCTAAGTGGTCAAATGCGTGTAATTTTCTGGAAATTAAGTCTCTTCTGAATTAGGTTTACATTCCCGTAATGTGTCTCAGAGTCTTGTGCAAGTGTCACTCGGATATTTATTTGCCACAATTGAAAGGTGCACTGTGCAAATCTCTCTTCATTTATACCATGTATAATTTTATTTTCTAGAATATATCATGAAGGACCTGTCATTATTTTCTCAGTACTGTTTGAATCAGCTGAATGTTGATTCTGCCATACCAGTTAATCACACCCATCATTTTATTTTACACTCCATAAACAATGATGTTATGCCTGCTCGTTTTCTAAAACAAGTCATAAATACTGTTTGTGCAGATGTATGTTCCTTTATAAACATGAGTTTGAGCACCGGAATGGTTCCTGATAGTTTAAAATATGCAACAATTACTCCAATTTTAAAGACATCAAATTCAGATACATCTATTTTGTCCAACTTTAGACCAATCTCTAATTGACCTTTTATGTCTAAAATTCTGGAAAAAACAGTGTTAACTCAGTTACAAGCTTTCCTGAGTTCTAACAATATTAATGAAACTTTTCAATCTGGGTTCAGGAAATTACTTAGTACAGAATCTGCTCTTTTAAAAGTTTTTAATGACATCTTATTGACCACAGATTCTGGAAATGCTGTTGCTTTGATCTTACTAGATCTCAGCTCAGCCTTTGACCTAGTTGATCACAATGTACTCATCTCGCGCTTAAAAAATTATATTGGCCTGCGAGGCACTGCTCTTCAATGGTTTCGGTCTTTTTTAACTAACCGTAAGATCTGTGTACGTATTGGACAAAATACTTCCTCCACCGCTCCTCTGTCTTGTGGTGTTCCTCAGGGCTCCATTCTTGCTCCAGCTCTGTTTATGTTATATATACTGCCTTTAGGTTTGATTTTTCAGAAATATGGAATTTCTTTTCATTTATTTGCAGATGATGTTCAGTTGTACCTCCCCTTTAAACCAAATGATAAAAATGCACTAGGAGATCTGTATGCATGCATTCAGGAACTTAAGTCATGGCATACAAAAATTTTTTTTGACTCTAAACGAAGGTAAAACTAAAGTAATTCTGTTTGGACCTAGTGACGCTTTTAATGCCTGTAAATGTAACTTTGGTTCCTTAACTCAATGGGTTACTCCATGTGCAAAAAATTTAGGTTTTTGGCTTGATTCTGGTCTAAAGCTTGACAAACAGATAAATGGAGTAGTTAAAGTGTGTTTTTTCAATCTTCGTCGCCTGGCTAAAGTGAAACCTTTGTTATCAACCAGGAACTTCAAAAAAGTAATTCATGCATTTGTTATTTCCCATTTAGACTATTGTAATGCACTTTATTATGAGATTAACTGCTCATCCATGGAGCGTTTACAACTGGTCCAAAACGCAGCAGCCAGGTTTTTGACGAGAACACGTAAATCCCAGCACATCTCTCCTATCTTGATCTCTCTCCAGTGGTTGCCTGTAAAATTCAGAGTTGAATTTAAAATATTAATCTGGGTTTTTAAATCGCTTCATAATCTTGCGCCAGTCTACCTCACTGAGTTGTTGCACTCACACACATCAGCGAGACCACTTAGATCGGGGCATTTAAAAATGTTATCCGTCCCTAGGTCCAGACTGAAACATCGTGGTGACCGAGCTTTTGCTATTGCCTATTAAATCAATGCTTAAATCTTATTTATTTGAAAAATGTATGCTGGGTTAAATTTTTACTGTACTGTTTTTATGTATTTTCAACAACTATGTATAGCACTTTGGTCAACCCTTGGTTGTTTTAAAATGTGCTTTATAAATAAATGAAGAAAGAAACAACAAGATCAAGTTATATTGTGACTAGAGTGGTTGGTAACACTTCTCACCAGTTCTCACTATTAACTAGTTGCTTTTTAGCATGCATATTACTAGCATATTGGCTGTTTATTATAAAGCACATATTAATGCCTTATTCTGCATGACCATATTTTAGATCCCTTAATCCGACCCCATTCCTAAACTTCACAACTACCTTACTAACTATTAATAAGCAGCAAATTAGGAGTTTACTGAGACAAAAGTTGCAATTAATAGTTAGTTAATAGTGAGAATTGGTCCCCAAACTAAGGTGTGACCGAATGGTTTATTTTATATTACCCTATATTTATTTATTTTTGTAATACATGAACAGGCAAGCAGAGTGATCATCTTGTACATTTTCTGTCATTCTCTACTTTTAAAGGCCATTGTTTTCAATGGCTTTTGTGAAAATTATGTAAGTGTATGCCATCTTGATATGCCCAGTAATTTCAATAATTAAAATTTCAGTAATTAGAAGTTTCTAATTAAACAGTTTCTGTTCTGTATTGCATATGGTATATTATTTGTGCCATTAATTTAGATTAGTGTATTTTCAAAGTAAAGTAACAAACTGGACTCGGTAAGACATAGGCTACAATAGAAGTTAATAAAGATTTAAACTAAAATCATCGACAACTGAAATGAGTTTTGTTTTAAACTCTATTTTCTCTACCTTTCTTCACTTCTCAATTGGTGTCCATAACAGTGAGAATGTTTCTGTACTAGGGAAACACAGGGACATTTATATTAGATATGAACAGTGAAGAAAAATGACAGCTAATGTCCAATCCAAGTAGAGAAGCAGAATGAACTGTGGCATAACTGCCACCCTGCCAATGAACTGACCCGGTTTTATTTTCTACAAAATATTATAAACTTCTCTTTTCCTAAAATGAGATTTCCGTGTTTGTTGTCATTTGTTCAAGCGCTCAACAGATGGCACTGTTAAACTGTGTGGTGACTTGAGGAAGACTGTACTAATGCAGTAAATAAATAAAACAAACTCTTCAACTTCAGAAACCAGCCTTAGTGAGCAATGCTATTTAATTGTTCAGACCTATAAATTCATGCTCTCACTGTACACAGAGAAGAAATTAAAACGCATTTGTCTGTTTTAATAAACCACTTCATTGCATCTCAGTGTCACGTCTCTGTTCAGATCTCAGATGAAGTTCTGTTTGAAGGATCATAACATTCTTCAGATGCAGTCCTTCATGACACAGCTAGCATTAGTCTGCATTGTCCTTCAGTGGCTAATGGCTCTGAAATGTTGCCAGAACCAGAATAACACAGATTGGACTGAGATCTTGGATGATGTCATTGATGTGGGAGGACAGCGGGTGATCGTTACGTTTGTTGTTGTATGATGTAGTTCTGGTTGTTATCGCTGTTGGCAGAAGCCTGTGGTGACATTGGTCTTCTGTAATGTTGGCCGGTTGATTTGGGCTTTGCATTTTGTTTCTCTTGTGAAATGCATCTGATGGTGCGGCCAGGGTGCTATCTGGACACTGAGAGTGCAAAAATGGGTGTTACTGTTTTCAGCAGGAGATATCAGACAATTCCTCAAAAGTCACTTATACGGGATTAAATGGATGAACAGACATCATTTAGGCAAATTAATTAACGCACTATTCACTATTCTCTACTGATGTGTCATGAGAGGCTGTGCTGCAGTTCAGCCAATCGCATTCAGATCTGCCTCTATTCCAGTATGCAATGTTTGCTTTTTATTTACATCCCAATAAACAACTGATGGATAACATTAAGTCCAACCCTACATAATTTTTTTGTTTGTTTGATAGTTTTGTTTCACATCACAATACGGTAGTAAAGTCGGTCGCCATTTATGTTGAATGTAGACTTGTGCCGGTATTCGGTAATGCGATATATCACGGTAATGAATATGCACGATATTGTTATAGTGGGCACTTCTAAATACCGTGAATAATTATATATTACAAATTATTCCGAATTTTGAATGCATTTTAAGAATACTTTTCCCATAAACTGGTCAAAATGCACAACACCGCTGTATGCTGCGTGAAAGACGCATGGGCACTCTGAGTAAACAAGCGTGGACAAGAAGCAGCTGACACTAAAAGTGCAGAACTTTTCTGAGGTTTTAGGGTGTACACTAACAGCTAAAGCATAGCTTGCTAAGTAAAGAAGTGCCACTAAAAATATCAAAACTAAAAAAAGAAAACATTCTGCTTAATTTAACTGACTAGTCGGTTGTTGGATTGCCGTGAGCCATTCTTACTGTAATGAACTGTGTTCTGTGTGTTTGTGTGTTGTGCAGCAGCGATGCAGGGCTAAATGACGTGCTGTCAGACTGGGACTCAGACATGGATGGTGTGGAGTGTCTTAAGGACACAGATGTTCTCCACAATGGCAGCCGAAGTGACCAGGAAGCTGCCCGACGTCTGGCCAGGCGGCTGTACCACCTGGAAGGCTTCCGGCGCTCGGATGTCGCCAAACATCTGGGCAAGAAGTGAGTTCATTCAGCCATAAATTTAGTTCTGTGTTTTCCTCCTCTCTATCCAGTCTTTGATTGGATACCTGTAATGCACACCGACCAGAGGAATATCAAAACATTAGCCTCTAACTAGAACCTGAAGAAAAACATAGTGCAAAAATACAGATAGATGCTTACTTTGAGTCTGATTGGTTAACAGGTTTGGGTTTGTTTTTGGGTTTGTTGACCACATTACAGTTGTGTATTACTTTACAATGTTCTCTGAATTCTCTGAAAAAGCCACAGCAAAAACTGACTAATGTACCATTTGACCACTGAATAAGTCCAGCAGTGTCTGTCATTGTCTATGTTGCTAGGCACATGCACGTCACATATTTATCGTTACTCAGGTGAAAATGTTTTCTTTGCACTCAGAACAAGATTTCTGCAGTTTAGAGCACAATTCAAAGTGGCTCAAACAGGATGTTGCAACAACAAAATGTTGCAAAACATGCCATGGGAAAAGTATTCCAACACATCCACTTCCAGTGTTTTTTTTTTTAAGGTTAAATTCATTTAATTGTATAACTTTATGTAATTTGAGTGCTTAACTCCATTTTTAAGAGTGGCGCATTTAATCAAAATATGTCAAAGATTAATTCTGTGTACTTTAGAATTTGCCCAGTCGGCAGTTCGCTAACGCCAATAAAAGAGTGTGTCTGCACAGTCCACATATTTATGCCAAATTTATTTTGAATATATTCCAGTGTTTGCACAAAAAATGGTTTCAGTGGTGATTATTTTTATTTAATAATGTTTTTAAAAATACTTCAGGCCCCTGGAGTTTTTCATTCCTTGCCACAGTCGCCTTCGATTTGCTCACTTGGGGTTTACAGACAAATACCCAAAAGGAAAAATTGAAAGTTCACCCAAAAATGAAAATGATCATCATTTACTTACCTTCAAGTTGTTCCAAACCTGTATGAATTTCTTTCTTCTGCTGAACACAAAAGAATATGTTTCTTGAAGAACGTGAATAAACAAACAGTTGCAGGTCCCCATTGACCTTCATGGGAAAAAAAAAAATATTATCATTGGGGACCAGCAACTGTTTGGTTACCAGAATTCTTCAAAATATCTTCTTTATAGCTTTAAATGTTATTTAAGTCCTCATTACTGCAATATTATTCTTCAAAGCTGCTTTGAAAAACGCTATATAAATAAATGCTATAAATAAATAGAAACTCAATTCATTGTATTTCCACTTGATTTTTAAATGACATAGCTCTGTCCACGCCCCCAAAATGAATCTTACACATTCCTAACTTTCAAAAGGCTCCATCGGCACTTCCTCAAGTATTATTAAATCAGCATATTTATTTTTTCATACAAAGGATCTTGTTACTACAAGCTGTTGTTAATGCCATTCATACATTTCATAGCCTACATTCAAGCATTATAAACTACAGCTCAATTTATGTCATTTTCTAGTTTACTGTGGTGAACTGTGCTCACAGTTATTTCCCAGATATGTTTCTTTGTATCTCAGAACCAATCAGACAGGTCAGTGACTGCATTAGAGCTGTTAAACACCCTCAGCCTTCAAGTTCATCCCTCACATTCTCACACACACTGGAAGTAAAGATTTGAACATACAGGCACTCATCCATATTCATAAGCACTCTCAGTGCCAGACGCAGTACTCTAGAGGAGCGCATTATTACTCCAGTGTGCTCTGTAGCACCGCCTCCACAGCCCTGCACTCAGCCTGTCTCACTCTCCTGCTGTCTGAAGACATAAACTGTCCACAGCCACGCTCCCATCCTGTCTCACTCTCCTGCTGTCTGAAGACTTTCACTGTCCACAGCCACGCTCCCATCCTGTCTCACTCTCCTGCTGTCTGAAGACCATCACTGTCCATAGCCACGCTCCCACTGCTGTCTGAAGACAATCACTGTCCACAGGACCTAATACTTTAGAGGACCTTATACTGAACCCTGTGGCACTCCATACTTCTGTTGGGTTGGGCATCTTGCCATTAACATAAATAAACGTGTTGGATAAGCGATTGGATAGGTAGAACCTAAGCCATGCTAATGCCTGCCCACAAATGGCAACATAACTCTCAAGCCTATCCAGGAGAATGTTATGATCTACTAGTGCTGTGCTCAAAATATCAACGCTCCCATCCTGTCTCACTCTCCTGCTGTCTAAAGACATAAACTGTCCATAGCCACACTCTCATCCTCTCTCACTCTCCTGCTGTCTGAAAACCATCACTGTCCATAGCAATGCTCCCATCCGGTCTCACTCTCCTGCTGTCTGATGACATAAACTGTCCATAGCCACACTCCCATCCTGTCTCACTCTCCTGCTGTCTGAAGACCATCACTGTCCATAGCCACATGCTCATCCTGTTTCACTCTCCTGCTGTCTGAAGATATTCACTGTCCACAGCCACATGCTCATCCTGTCTCACTCTCCTGCTGTCTGAAACATTCACTGTCCATAGCCACATGCTCATCCTGTCTCATTCTTTTGCTGTTTGTAGACGTCAATGTCCACAGCCTCGTACATATCTTGTCTCACTGCTGCTGTCTGAAGACAATCACTGTCCACAGGACCTAATACTTTAGAGGACCTTATACTGAACCCTGTGGCACTCCATACTTCTGTTGGGTTGGGCATCTTGCCATTAACACAAATAAACGTGTTGGATAAGCGATTGGATAGGTAGAACCTAAGCCATGCTAATGCCTGCCCACAAATGGCAACATATCTCTCAAGCCTATCCAGGAGAATGTTATGATCTACTAGTGCTGTGTTCAAAATATCGATACGACGATGTATCGTCACAGAGATTTGACGATACGAGTATCGATACAGCTGGCCCTGTATCGATATTGTGGCACGTGTGCAGCAGTGGACCACGCTTAATTTGTTTAAAATTTTACAACGTTTAAAATTGAGTAGAAAAGTGCGAGGTTTCTAAAAAAGAATGAATAGAGCATATATAGGCTACAACAAGGTTTAACCTGGCCGCAGAGGAAAACAACTGGGTTGCCTGATATAAAGAGACGTAATCCCCAAAACAGAGCTTTACACTTGCGCAATACGGAAATATCTGCTAAATGTGCTACTTATCATTGTCAACCTGGCAACCATATGCTCGCGCTCTCTCTCCACTGTGGATAAACACGCTTGCTTTCTGAAAACAGCGCTTAGCTTGCAGTTTAGCGATCTCCACTTCAATACTCTATTCTCAGAAAAGTGTAATTCATCAACTGTTCATTTACGAGAGAGAGAGA